CCACCTTGTAGTTACCTTGAAGTACCTTCCTTTCTTTTCAAATACTTATCTACAATATAGTAGGTGATACACTAGTATTAGTAGTTACTAACATGCTTAGGCAGTCCAATCTCACTCAATAATAATGCTCGAGCAGCAAACCCGTAATTACTAAACTAAGGATGTTCTTTCAATCCCCGTCTTCTTTTATTGCATTTGTACACTACACAACTATATTTTAATATCAACAATTTACACCCTTTTCAGACATCAACCAAGCTGTCCCCAATATGTATACACATCAACCTGTCCCAAAACAGTCCTAACAATCCAACATACAATAGAGTACGTGAAACTATAGTTTCCCATCATCATCCCACGAGTTCTTATCAACAGTATACTTAAAATATCATACTTAGACTCGTGTTTAAGGAAGACAAAGATAGGGAAGTCACTTTACCTTAATTCTTATAACTCGTTTTCTTTTAACTTTAACTCTTCAATAACTTGAGCTTCCCTTGCAAGGGCTTGGGTTTATCCAAGAACCCTAGGAAACTTGTGGCTACTGCTATGCTTTGAAAGAGAAAGGAGAAGCTTAGAGAGAAATCTGATTTTTTTTATCTATTCTTAAAAGTGAAGAAATGGCCAGCAACTTGGGGATTATAAAGGTCTTATTTTTCCCCACCTCTTACGTTTTAATATCAGCCACTAATTTGTCAAAGTGGTCCAAGTAGGTGATGCATCTGCTTGGAATTATATATACACAAGATGGGCCCTTTATGTACTCATCTTGGGCTGCAATCTTTCCCCTTTCTAATATTAAGCCATGGGCCAGAATTATACCCTTAATTTGGGTCTTAATCTTTATTAGGCTCAAGTAGTTGGAATTGGACAGATTGGTGTAAGGCCTCATCCCCATTCCCTTTTTCCTTTTTATTTAATTTGGGCCTCAAGTGAGCCCACTAATGCATGAACTAATCTTCCCCATCTACCTAGCCCATTTGAGATAAGCAAGTAGGTGACACCTGCTAGCTTTATAAAGTGCAACAAGCACCTCAATTCTTTTATTCGTTTTCCGAGCGTAATCTCCTTAGTTTAACTCAAAACTTATATACACTTGATCACCTTAACTTTTAGACTTACATATAACCCTTCGATCCATAATTTAAATACTTCTAAAATTTAACGTTCACTTGATCGTGCAATATTGCAATGTAAAGGTGTTACCCTTATACCTTCTTTATTGTCACCATTCAACTAGGAAATCAAGTTCATTACTTATACCACCAAGCTAAATCAAGTTCCATATGCGTAGAACTTGTACACGTAAAATACGGGGTGTTACACATATCTGACTAGAAGATTTCAGAAAATCGTGAGGAAGCAAGGGGGTTTCAGGAAGATAGGAAACTCTAGCAGGGCTGCTAATGCAAATGACTTATGCCACAAGTGTGGAAAACCAGGGCATTTTATCAGAGATTGCGCTATGCACAAACTTGAATATAAAGACTATGTCAAGGATGGAGGAGACAAAGACAAGAGAAGGGATCTGGTCCCTGATAAGAAAGGAAGAAAAGTTGTTGCTGATTATGTTGTGAAGAAGGTCCTTGTTGTCTGGAGGGAGTCTTCAAGCGACTCAGAAGAGTTAGAACATCCTGAAGATACCTCCATGTTTGCAGTGAAAGATGATGAGGATGTGTTTGATGCAATGTTTGCTTTCATGGAAAAATCTGATGATGAAGAAGCTGAAAAAGAGGTAACTCTTTCTGACTTTAAACAAAACCTGCATGTTTATTCTATTAAAAGGTTGATGAGTCTAGCAGTTGTTTTGATCGACTAAATCACTGAGTTGACCACTGAAAAATATTTGATGAATAACAGTCTAGATATTTTTAATGATGAAAAAGCAGCTTTGGTTTCTCAAATGTCAGTAATGGAAGAACGAATAATGGTTCTGGAATCTGAAAGTCTAGAACTCAAGAAAAAATTAAATAAGTTGAGTAGGAAATGTGCTAGAGGAAAAGGTGAATCTAGCAGTTTACAACTCTAGCTGTAAACTAGCTTGAATAATTATGAAATGAAACTATCTATGGGCTAGGAGAGAAATGATCAGTTAGAAAAGGACATGGTCTGTGTCAAAGAAGAACCGAACAAATCTCTCAAATGGACCAACTTTTCAAAATTGCTTGCCAATCTTACTAGTCAAGGTCAAAATGATGGGAAGGGTTTGGAAGCTTGAACATAATTCCTCTCTATAACCCTCACAACAAATATGTGTCAGTGTCTGACAATCTTTGAGGTCTCCATTGTGGCCGTAATGGTCATGTGAAGAAGGAGTGTCCAGCTTGGAAAAAAACTCAAGAAAGTTTCTCAATCTATTCCGACCAAAAATTCATACAGAATAAGGGACATTGTGCTAACTCTGGCTCTTTTCATAACATGACAAAGACTATCTTGCCACACTGGACGAGAAATTCCCTTATTATGCCTATATCTACTTACTAGGATCTCAGACTGAAATGGGTTCCCAAATCTAATGAATAATCTATGTTTCAGGGGAGTGGATGAAGTAACAATCAGTGCTGGTTCATGGACAGTGGATGTTCAAAACATATGATTGAAAAAATTGAAAACTTCCTCTTACTCAAGGCACTTCAAGGTGGATGTGTCTCATATGGAAATGGAAAGAAGGGTTACATTCTGGGAGTTGGAAGAATTGGAAAAATTATTGAGCACTCTATTGAGAATGTATACTATGTGAATGGATTGAAATACAGTCTTCTTAGTGTTTCTTAAATATGTGATAAAGGTAATGATGTCAGATTTCTATCAGAAAGTTGTATTGTTACAAATCTAACTTCAAAGGAAGTAATCTTAACTGCAAGAAGGTGAAAGAATATGTATGTTGCTGATCTAGATACTGCCAAGAAGATGATCTTACTTGTCTTAGTGCCTAAAGTGAAAATGGTGACTTGTGGCAAATGAGACTTGGTCATGTGAGATCATCTCTGTTAAACAAACTTGTATTCAGAGACCTAGTCCGTGGATTACCAAAACTTAAAATTCAGTGATGAAAAAGTGTGTGATGCATGTATCAAAGGAAAACAGATCAGATCATCTTTCAAATCAAAGAAGCTAGTAAGCACAACAAGACCTCATGAGTTAATTCATATGAATCAATATGGCCCTGTGAAGATTCAAAGTAGAGGTGGGAAGAAGTATATCCTTGTGATTGTGGATAATTATTCAAGGTACACTTGGACTATGTTTCTAAGGTCCAAAGATAAAACATATGATGTGTTGATGTTGTTTGTTAAAATGATTCAGACAAAGATAAACTGCAAGATTGCAAGGATGAGGTTTGATCATGGGACTGAGTTTGAAAATGCCAAGCTTGATAATTTTTATGTTGAAAATGGCATTCATCATAACTTTTCAGCTCCAAGAACACATCAACAGAATGGTGTTGTTGAGAGGAAGAATAGAACTCTGGTTGATACTGCCAGAACTATGCTCATTGATTCAAATCTTCCAAAAAAATTCTAGGCTGAAACAGTTAACACAGCTATTATGTGACTAACAGGTGTTTGATCTGGTATTTTCTAAACCAAACTCCTTACGAGCTGCTCAACAATAGAAAGCCTAAATTGAGTTATTTAAGGGCTTTTGGATGCAAATGCTTTGTACTGAACAATGGGAAAGATGATCTAGGAAAATTTGATCGTAGAAGTGATAAATGAGTGTTTGTGGGATATTCATCTTCAAGTAAAGCTTATAGAGTTTACAATAAGAGGACAATGTGCATTGAAGAAAGTGTTCATATGATATTTTATATGAAACTGGTGATATCAAAGATCTAAAGAACAAGGATGATGATGAGCTAGAAGAACTACTTCAGATTCAGAGAGATAGTCTGAATGAGTCACAAGCTGAAAGAACTCAAGATCCAAATATAATTGAACCAGATCCAACTGAAAAAGTAAATGAAGATGTTGAACCTGAAGAGGGACCTGGTTTGTTTGATAATATTGAACCAGAGGATGCAGTTCAACCTGAGAATGAAGATTCTAAAAATGAAGAGGAAGAAGCAGATTAGCCGCAACCCTTGACAACTAAGTCAGGATGGAAACACAAGTCTTCTCATCCTCTTGATAATCTTATTTCTCCTATGAATTCTGGAATGCATACTAGGTCCAAAATTAGAAATCTAGTTGAATTCTCAGCATTCATATCGAATATTGAGCCTAAAAATACCAAGGAAGCCTTGAAAGATGATGATTGGGTGAATTCCATGCAAGAGGAACTTCACCAATTTGAACGAAGTAAAGTGTGGCACCTAGTCCCAAGGCCCTATGATAGAACTGCAATAAGGACCAAATGGGTCTTTAGGAACAAGATGGATGAACATAGAATTATTACAAGAAACAAATCAAGGCTGGTGGTGCAGGGATATAACTGAGAAGAAGGCATTGATTATGATGAAACATTTTCCCTTGTGGCAAGGATGGAAGCTATCAGAATTCTCATTGCTTTTGCAGCCTTTATGGAATTCAAATTGTTTCAAATGGATGTGAAAAGTGCATTCTTGAATGGTTACTTGAAGAAAGAGGTTTATGTAAAGCAACCCCCCTGGATTTGAAGATGTTGATTATCCAAATCATGTGCTTAAATTGGATACAGATCTTTATGGTCTAAAACAGGCTCCTAGAGCTTGGTATGAAAAATTGTGTAAGTTCCTTCTAGAAAATGGTTTCAAAAGAGAAAAAATTGACAATACTTTCTTTTTAAAAACACGAGGTAAATAATTGCTCATTATCCAAGTGTATGTTGATGATATTATCTTTGGAGCAACGTCTGAAGTCACGTGTGAGGAATTTGCTTCACTAATGAGGAGTGAATTTGAAATGAGTATGATGGGAGAATTAAGTTTCTTCCTGGGGTTGCGGATCAGACAAACATCAAATGGTACCTCTATTTGTCAAGAAAAGTACATCAAAGAGCTTTTGAAAAAAAAACATATGATGGATACAAAGCCTATTGACACTCCCATGGGAACAAACTCAAAACTGGATGCAGATGAACCTGGTCCCATGGTGAATGAAACTATGTATAGAGGCATAATTTGTTCATTGATGTACTTGACATCAAGCAAACCTGATATTGTGTTTAGTGTGGGTATGTGTACTAGGTTTCAAGCCTGCCCTAAGAAGTCTCATTTGAAAGCTGCCAAGCGAATCGTAAGGTATCTGAAAAAGATAGGGACCTGGTCCTATTCTATCCTTCAGGAGACTCGTGTGAACTGGTGGGATATGCAGATGCATATTATGCAGGGTATCTAGTTGACAGAAAGAGCACCACAGGAATGGCTCATTTTTTGGGGTCTTCACTTATCTCCTGGGGAACTAAGAAGCAAAATTCAGTGGCTCTTTCTACAGCTGAAGCAGAATATGTAGCAGTTGCATGTTGTTGTGCTCAATTTCTATGGATAAAGCAACAACTTTAAGACTTTGGAGTGATTACTCACACTATCCCACTCTTGTGTGATAACACAAGTGCACTCAATATGGCAAAGAATCCAGGTCAGCATAAAAGGACTAAGCACGTTGATGTGCGACATCACTTTTTGAGAGATAATGTAGAAAAGGGAAACATTTGTATGCAATTTTGTTAGACTAAGGATCAAATTGTTGACATCTTCACCAAAGCCTTGATTAAGAACTTGTTTGAGAATAACAGATTGAGGTTGGGAATGATGAAGCTTGACTGAGCTGACTCCATCTAAAACATCCAACCCTCATTGGCTATGGTTAGGAGGCAGGTATCCTTGTTATTTGTAATTCTTGTTCTGGTAAAATCAATCTTATACCTTTTGCAGGTATACACTCATAATGATTTGCTGGTATAAAGGAAGGAAAAAACAATTCTGGGATAAATATATTCAAATTGCACAGAGGGACCTGGTCATATCTCAAAAGGGTAAGCACTCTTACATTATATTCAAACTACTAATGAAAATCGTTGTGACTGCCATGTGTCAGTCAACTGTCTTTTGACCATTATCCCATCGCTTTAACTCCAAGCGACGTATCCTATCAAGGGACCTGACACACCTCTTCATTTATTTTTATACTCTCTTTCCTCATCTCTCTTCCCAAAATTTTGAACTCTTTACTCTAATCTTTCATAAACCCTAACATCTTTCTCCTATTTTTTTTTCTCTACAAAATGTCTCAAACTTCATCTCTTTTCCAAAAGATGCTGAACATTCTAAATGAAATAGATCTTGTGGCCTTTACCTCTCTCTCCATTAACCCTATTTCAACACCAATCTCAACCATTCCTCCGGTTGAAGAATGTCAAATCCCAACTCCTGAAGTCATTCCAGATTCCGTTGACAAAGGCTCTCCAGTGTGCTCCCCTTATTTAGATCTAAATGACCCTCAAAATTCCTCCCTTTATAAGGTTGTATAGTCCAAAACGGTTCAAGAAAGTGAAATCCCTTTGTCTCTATCTCAACCTGGTCACATCTCCTCTATTTTGTCTAAACTTCTCTTTGAGGGAGACCTTCCTGAAGAGAAAAAATCTGAGTCTAATATTCTGGCTGCTAGTAAAGAGTTAATGGTGGAGAGTCTCACTGAAATGAGGGAAAGCACAAGAGCTCCATTTTTCGAGGAAGGAGATAGAACTCCAGAGGCTCCTATTGAGACCTCTGAACCAATGTTCGATAAAACCCAAGGAACCATTCTACCCTCTACTATTATTGATGATGAAGAGGACAATCGTCCTTTGCATTGGGTTGTGCAAAGAAGAATGGTTCCTATCTCAAGTAAGGGAAAAGAGAAAGTGACAGAAGAGAAATCCGCAAAAAAAATACCCTACCAAGGGTTCAACAAGAAAGTTCATGAGTGATGCAATGAAGGTGAATAAGCTTAGCACAACTGAGAGCAGGAGAAGAAGAAAGACTGTAGTGGAAGAGAACCTGGTCCCAGGCGAATAAGTGGTTGAAATCTCAAATGAGCATGATGAGAGTGACATTGTGTCAGAGGACATCATTTCTGCAATTGAAAAGAGGAAGAAATATGCATTAGGAACGGAGAAATCCAAAACAAGGAAAGCACTAGTTAGAAAATAAGTGGATTCAAAAAATAGAGCGACGAATGAGGCGGTGAATAGGAGAGTAAAGGAGACCTCAAATAGAAAAAAAAGAAGTTTCACCTGATACTGAGGAACTCTTTGCAGCATCTGAGCCTGAGTCTGAAAAGGGACCAGGTTCAAAGAGTAAAAAGATGAAGGTTGAAAAAGAGTTAACTCGGGAAGAGAGAGTTAATGTTTTAAAAAAACAAAAGGTTCTGAATGGAAGGGTGTTTGACCCTGAGATAATCACCAAGCCAGGAATGTGTAATCTGGCAGACTCTGTGGAAGTACAAACATGGACTCACTTGTTTGTAAATCACATTCCAATATTGCATGAGGATCAAGTCAGTGATTTCTACTATAATGTTGAATTCATAGAAGATGGGAGTCTCAATACGCGAGTAGGTGACAAAAATTTTCACTTGAATGAGGAAAGGTTGGGAAAGATTCTAGGTGTACCCATGGAAGGGATCAGGTCAGTGGCTGGGCAATATTGCTCCAAAAGTTTGTTCAAGTATGTGGTAAACTCCCAAAGCTAAGCTGTGTTGGTATTCCTAAGAAGCTTATGAATGGTGTATATCAATTGATTTTTGAGTTTGTGAACAAAGTTATTCTTCCTAGATCTGAGAAAAGAGCAATTGCTTCTACGGGTGACCTGTTTTTTATGGAAGCACTGTGCAAGTTTGATGCCATAAACCTTCCAGCCATCATGCTAGAACGTATACACAAGACTGTTACAGTGAAAAATGGGAAACATGGCATGGGTTATAGCTACTTCTTAACAAGTGTGTTTAGTCACTTGGAGATTCCTCTTGAAGCAGGTGTAAGAGGAACAGTGAAGCAAACCTTCTCCGTGAACACCCCTTGTTGAGTGTGAGTGTGTGAAAGGAAAAATAGGGCACATGAGTAAAATGTATAAGTTGGTGGTAGAACATAGTCAATTGAGGAATGAGTTAGAGGAAATGACAACATTGTTGAGCGAGAAAGATACAGAGATAACTTTGTTGAAGGCACAGTTGGTAAAGGCTCAAACTGAGGGACAAAGTTCGGCTGAAGTCACCAACTAAGGGATAAAAATAAAACCCTCATGGCTCAAAATTCTGAACTCAAGGAAAAGCTGAGCAAGACCTATGATGATGCAGATGCTTGTCTCACTATTATCCTGCAATCCCTCACCCAAAAGCCCCCTACTTCCTAGTTCATGCCTGGTCCTTGCTATCTGTCTTCCCTTTACCCTTTTTTCAGTGGATTTTGTCATGTGGTTCTCTTAGTAGTTTATTTGTAATGTTTTCAATGCACTCTTTGTATGAAATTAAATGAACTCCATATGTTGTTAATGACGTTTCTTAATTTTCTGCTTTTCATTTATGCTTGTGTTGCCGAATGATCATGGTTTTACCATTCTTGCTTACTTTTAATCTTGGTTTACTTCTTTTTCTTCTTTATGATGCCAAAAGGGGGAATATTGGTATGCATAGGATAGATTCTTCCAGTTCACTGGGAATAGGTACCTGATATTGTTGATGGGGGAAAAAGTAGGAAGGAGAAGAGAAGTAGAAGTGGGAAGAAGAATAGAAGTCTATCATCATCAAAAAGGGGGGAAATGTTAACATGTAGTTTTGTTGATTTGACAAACCATGGGATCTGATAAGGGGATCTAATTCCATGTGAGAATAGTGCTCTTGTACGATAAAAGAACAGCTGGAAAAGTACTCTGCACTCTTTGCCATCTTCAGGAGGTGGTGCGGGTTTGGTGCAGAGTGGCAGGTTCGTCAGCCAATGACATTGCTTCTAGGGTTTTGTGTCCATCATATATAAGCCTTATATCTAATGGACACAACCTAGTTTTTGCATTTTGAAATTTTGAAAAGAGCAAAAACCATTCTCTCTAGTAATATTCTCCTCAAGAACAACAAGGGACCTGATAAAGTTGTCACTGTTCTTAGTTATTGTAGGTTTATATATATGTGCTTACTCTTGTAGTTTATTCTTGTGTTATAAAGGAATCAGATTAGTTCGTATATTCAACATTGATTATGAGTTATAGCTAGAGTTAGCTATGGTGAGTTAGTGAAGTCTAAATCGATTAGGGTTAGTTGATATAGTGAGCAACTGAGATGTTGCTTTGAAGTTTGTTCGTAACAGAGCTGTTACCGTAAAGGGGAAGAGATTTAGAGTTAAATCCTAGATTGAAAGAGCTTGTAATCTGAATCTTTGCTCCTTGATGATAATGGATTTGAGTTGAAATCCCGTGAATACGTGTCGTGGTTTTGTCCTTCCTTGAGCAAAAGGGTTTACACGTAAACTGTTTGTGTTGTTTATTTTAACGTATTTATTTTAGTTACTGTTCTTGCTGAGTCAAGGGACCTAGTCCTTTGACGTATAGTGGATAAATACATTCTAACACCGGTACCTCTTCATGAGGAACACCGCATCAAGACAATGCTTATGTAACGACTCTTTCTGTCATTATGAGTGAGTTAAATGTAAAAAATTAGGCGAGAAAACTTTTGGGGTAGAGAGTTGAAAGTTTCAGGCTAGGTTAGGCTTGGATGAAATTTGAGCAAAATGAGGTCTAGAAAAATCCAAAAAATTATTGGGTAAGATGTCTAAGTTAAAGCTTGTTTTTTTACCTAGATAAGACCTTAAGGAATCCGTAGGACTTTCTGGAACTAAATTTGAATGAGTAAAGCTCCTAATATCGAACGTGGCGTGAAGAGGTTGGTTTGGAATGTCAAGGTTTGAAGGTGCGTTGTGAAATGGGCAATTTTGGGAGTATTTCTAAGGTTTTGTCTTGTGTCAGCTGCTATGGAGGGTGACACGCTACTATGATGACTAAAGAAATTCTTGTTATAGCGGGTGATGCCGCTATAGCGGGATCATGCTACTATGATGGGGTAAGTCGCATTAAATGCATAAAATTCCCCAAAACCTCTCCTTCTTTCTTAAGAATATTTTGGGGAAGTGCAGAGGCGACTTGGGAAGAATTTTATCAAATTTTTGTCAAGAATCTTTGTAAAAGTAAGCAATTTGTTTCCCCAACTTGGTACTTCAATTCCTATGCCTTAGAATCGATAGTTGCGGACCTTGGGGAGGATTTGATTTGGCCTAGGATGAAAAATATGGTGTAAGAAGAATTGGTGTGCGTAGAAACCTTGGGTTTTTCGCAAAAAATATTTGTTAATGATTATATTACCATAATTCACTAGTATAACCATAAAAGTGGTAGTTCGAGGTGGATTAATAGGTCAGGTGGCTTGAAGTAAGTGATGGTTGATTTGTTTACATGGTACCACCCATATAAAAATTGTATGAGAAGGGTCGCTTGAAGTAAGTAATGGTTGATATGTTTCTGATTTACATTATGTC